TCTGAAAGACAGGCAGTAGAGCAAATTAGGATAGATCTTCGAATCATAATGTTATCTAGAATAGATTAGGTGACATACGATAAAAGTCGACGACCGTAATCGAACAAAACTTAAGAATGCTGGGAAGAACGAATGTATAGGCAAGACGAGATGGTGACTGAGAATTGTCTGCTATTGCAACATGAATAGAGGGGACAAAAGAATAGTCGCTGCTACCCGAACTTATTCATCGGAGCAAGAGGATCATCGCAAAGCACCTACATAACGAAACTCTCACTTAGGGTTCTTTACAAGTTCTTCTGAACAACTTCTCGATTACACAACCCGTTATCACAGTTCTCTTATGTGCATCCCAGTACTTCTAGCATTCAATGTTTCCTTGTATTCACCCGCAACAAAGGTGGTCAAACATTTTTCGTGCTGTTAGGGCGGTTGCCGGAGGATTTCATCTTTTTCATGATTGACTTAAAATGCAGATTGGGTTAATCTCTTTATGATCGTGGAGGAACCCTAGTTGAGGCGCACAATAGGAAGCGTTGTTTGATCGAATGTACGAAGGGGTGTTGGGAGAAGAACCAAACCTTATTTCCTGATAGCCTGCGTCACTGAACAATCGACGACCATCCTCCTTTCGACCTAATAAAAAAAAACAATCGACCACCATCCTCCTTTCGATCTAACAAAATGCTTCAAGTGCAAGAAATGTAATAAACAATAGATGAACTCAAAATTACCGTCACATACATTTTTGAGATATGAGAACGAAGACTTCCAAGTAAGAAGATTTGAAGCGAATAGTTTTAAAAACTGCTTGCCCCATAATTTCTTCAACATCTCGACTCTTTTGCTAATTCAATTGTTAATTGTCCGAGGAAATCTACTAATCAACAATATAACGACCATCAAGATCGATGATTAGCAACCATTTATTCAGAAAAAATTGAATGCCCTGTTCGTGGAAAGAATCCGGCAATCAGTCAGTGAGGTCACTTTGGATCTGAGTAAGGAGTCGACTTTGCAATGTGAGATCAATACATAATGTGTCCACCGAGACTTCACTTGAAGCTCATTTCATTTAGATGCCAATCGACGGTGCTAAGGCATATCTAAATGTCTGCTCAAGCCACTATTAGAACATTCGCCAACATACCAGAGCCTTTTGTCAATATCCCACTCAAAACGGAAAAAGAAATTGAATAAAACAAAGTGCGAAAGAGATTATGTGATAACTCACTTAGAAAAAACTTACCACTGCATATAAGAAGTATCAAGAAAACTATAGAGAGTTTATCTATGAGTGTCGTCTTACGGTAAAACATCAGTAGTAGGCTTAAAAGGTATAAAAACGGGAGAGGAACCGAAGCAAAAAGTGACTGGAACGCGGAATCACATTGTCCGCGTTCAGATTATAAAACTAGACTTTTTCAGCGCTCAATAAAGGAATACGTGAACATTTAGAGGGAAGCTATGCGTTGCTAAATCTATGATTTAAAAAAAACATTATCATAAAGCTAATCGAATATATTTGGTGAGGTGAGTAAACGCGTAAACTTCACAAAAAATTTTTTTCGCTTCTGAGGACTCTGTATCAGAATTTAATTAGAGAAAAAAATCAAAAGGCCATCAGATCTACCAAAAGAATTACATCACGGTGTAAGTTCAGAGGGAGAAGAACCTATCAACCCCCATTGTGAACTGAAAGATTGCAAAGCCACAAGGACAGAACGAAATGGCAAGCCAAAGCACCGCGACTAATGAACGCTTAAAGTGCTTATGCAATATAGAAGAGCAAAAGTTTTGCTAGCTGAAAAGAGGAAAGAGGGAGAGAGGCGGGAGAAAAACGAACAAAAGTGTATTTGTTTGAAGACCGAAATAATGAAAACGACAAGAGCCGATAAATGACGAGCATTATCGTATGAAATCAAATGATAAATTTGTTGACTATAGAGGCCCAAAAATCTTCGAAAAGGACAATACTGCTTCGGAAAGCTTTACAGCATCACACAATTGCCAAAAAAAAAAGAGAATATGCATCAATTCTACTCCCAAAACTTTGAATCTCTGAGCACTGGCTAATCCTTTCCGAACTGTGAAGGTTGTCTTGGATCCCAACTTTTCAGAGGTGTTTTTCCGCATGACAAAGTTTCTTTTACTAGAACCTTAGGCATCACCCTTCTTGTACGCTGTAGCAACAATGATAAGATAATGTCCCACACATGAAATGATTTGTTTGCATGGCTAGGATCCGTGCATGGCTTTTTATTGAACTTTAATAATATTCATTCCATAGCGATAGATTTTGATGATGTGAAACCAAAACGATTATTTGAAAAATCCTCATAGTGCGCTGTACGAGCGAAAAGAATATCACACTCGGAGCAAGACCTGTTTATGTGCAAAAAGCATGTGAGCGTACAGAGGGAATCATGTAGTATTAGAGAAGTGCAAAAAACCTGGACTTTTATTATAAAATTGAGCAAAAAAACCACTATTAACTAACAAGAATCGCGCATCGCTTACGAATATCGATCAACAGCCCCTCGGGAAGGGTTACTATGGAAATTTGGGAACCCCGATATTTTCCCGACACTTACCATGCCTGATACTACTGACCTATAATAAGCTGTTTATGAGTGGAAATGTTCGAGGTTTCAACGACTCAGGGAGAACAAGACTGCATTACAGCTTTTCTTCATCTACAAACACTGAGAATAGGTTGGAAGCCTAACAAAATATGTATAAACGTTGCCTTAGGGCAAGCATCGATGAGTAGACGGAAAAAGACGCCGAAAATCAAACAAATAACCATAAAATTTTTCATTTCTTGCGATATACAACAGCTGCTATAGAGATTCACACAGAAATCTTACGAAAAAAAAAACAATACAAAGAGATAGGGATTGATATATATCAAGCCTTAACTTTAAATCATTAGAAAGGAATGTTAGAACTGAAGTGGAAATAAAGTTGTATAACTGCAAGACGACGTAAAATCAAAGAACCCCATAAATCCATATATGAGAGCGATTTAGTCTTTGCAAAAAAAGGACGCACAAGCACGTGCGCTTTTTGGTAATGAAGTATTTCCACGTCTTTTTTATGTTTTCAAGAGTAAGAATAAATAGAAATTATTAAAATCACCAAGTTAATATGACTAAAAACAACAAAAAAATAATATTAAGTACTATTTTCCAAGACAAACTGCTCTTGTCTATGGATTTCAAGGCAAAAATAAAAAGAGTGAAAATCTCGTAGGTCGTACCTTCTATACATACGACTTGATCACGGATTTCGTCTCTCATGTGAGCATATTCGGGTGGAAGTGGAAGACATTCCAACATATCGTAAATCTATAATCGTCGAGAGAAAAAATGATAAACGTATGACATATTCTATAAGAATGAAGCTATGAAAATGGTGTTGAAGAGCAAACTGTTCTGTTCAATCCTTTCTTTATTTCATTATTCTTCAGATAAAAAAAAGCAGAGAAATTCCAGTATAAAACAAAACATCATGCTACTCGTGGAGTATGGAGCTGTTCTAATAGATAGAAAACAATTACAGAATAAAAAAAAAACAGAAATTAACGGACTGTCAATTGCAATTTCGCTTACATCTCGCTTCACATGTGGTAGTCAACCTCTGATTTCCCCATACACAAGAGAATCAGCGAATAACTAAGGCGATGAAGTAGCTTATGATCTCCGAGGGTGTTCAGCGATATGCAAAACTTTCGACCTAGCCGGGGACTAAACCGCGTTCTACTCATACCGAGCGCGCGTGATACCACTACACTACCGAGACCATCTCTACGTTAACATTCATTCTTCTATATAACGCATTCGATAGCTATCAGCTCAACTGGACTTGATGCGGATATGTGTTTACCAGACAAAACACGTTGGCGTTTGGTTTTTGACACCTTCGATGCCTTATATCAAAGAGTAGTAGCTGTGCGGTGGCCTCAGTAATGCAGTGGTAACACAAGCCCCTGGTATGAGAGCAAGGAAGGTTCAGCTCCCGCCTGGGGCCGAAAGTTTTGCTATATATGAACGGCATCATAGCACTGTTTCAAGAGCGATAAATCAGGAAAAGTTGCAAACAGCTCCTTACTTGGTAAATACACGGATGTACACTTTCGAATCGTTGTATTTCCGCTCGACATTGTTCAGAGTGAAGAGTGTTGGTGCCCGGGAGTCCAGTAAGAAGTCGTCCGGACATCATTAACTAGATCTAAATCGAAATAAAACATAATTAACAATAAACTGTGATATAAAAAGGATTTAAAAAAGATAGAGTCTCGGCGTTTATCAATCGCTGAGGGACGTATCAAGCACTCTTAAAGGCGATTGAGCGCATATTCATCATTCACATTTACTCTTCGGTGGCCTATCAAGGTAACAAGTTAGTGCTGTTATCAGGTCAGACAAGTCTGGTAGCAAATCGCCGACCCCAAAGGTATGCAGGGCTTGGTGAGCTTTAGTGCGGGATCGAACCATCAACCGTGGATTGATCGACTACAGTTGTGTCGTATAACATCTCTAACCGCTGCGTCGCACGTGCTAGAGCTCTAATACATGGGGTATATAAGTGGGAATACCGCCTGCTACTCAGTAACAAAAAGACAAGTATTTGAAATCAGCAAAGCGTTCCTAACAAGAGCACTAGATCTTGAATTTAGCTCTCGATCCTGCCACATACAGCTTCGACCACGTCGAGGAAAATACGAGAAAAAAAAACGACTATAGACGGAAAAATTCAACCTAATAGACAAAAATCTATGTTTATAACAACGATAAACAAGGATATGCTTTGAAACAGAACAAAAATAACTTGGAAACCGATTTTTTTCCAACTCTGACATTACCGACAATCACATCTTTTTGAAAGAATTGAGTGGTAAGCAAAAACTCGACCTCAGACGGGAGTTGAATCAGCGTTTTCATCTATATCGCGGGCACGTGTTAACATCCAACAGCTAACAACTAATCATAGCGGTGGCTTCGGTGGTGTAGTGGTAGCACGCGTCCTCGGTTAGGATGAAAAGCAGGTTCAACTCCTGTCTGAGGTTGAACTTATGCTTACCACTCAATTCTCTTAGGAATATTTGAAAAATCATAACACTGTCAAAAAAAAAACAGTAAAAATAAAGAAGACTTTTTATCCGATCTTTCTCAAGCCAATAGCATGAAATACATAGAAATTAACCCATTGCGTACGGCAGCATAATCGATATCGGTCAGTGATGCGCGATTTTCGTTCTTCAACAAGAATTTTCTTTTCTTTAGCTTGGGGGATACTTTAGGTTATTTGTACCGCTCTGATAGAACATTATTTTCACTACAAGTCTCTATACTATTTGTGCATATATAGCACCTATATGCAAGGAAAGAGCGCATGTGGCGCAGTGGTTAGAGGTGCTCTGCGCCGCACACGAGGTCAATGGTTTGATCTCACGCTCATGGCTCACCAAGCCATCCATCCCTCCGGGGTCGGTAAAGTGGTACCAGACAGGTCTCAGACTTGTCTGGAAGGATAAGCAGCACTGACTCGGTTCAGCGGGAGGCCACCGCGAGTCATTGTAAAGGCCAGATATGCATTCAATCACCTCAAACGAAGTTAAAAGTTGAGGTCGAATGCATGGCGCATCCCTCAGGGATTGATCAACGCCGAGAGCTTTATCCTTTTTTTTATGCAAGGAACTCCAAATGTGAAACGTAATTTTATTTTCGCTCTCACAGTGCACCATGAAAACCTTTTCGAAGGACAGCTAGAGCTTCGGATTCGCCGAGGTTTGGGCTATGGAATGAGCTCAGTGTTGTCCGATCAAAAACGATCCACATGCCTTAGCTAAGCAAAAACGGGGAAGCAAGTGTGAAACAAAACTTTGCTTCTTCTCGTAGATCGTGGTGCAAGGGCCTCTCTGAAAACCAAGCAGAATGTCGAATTCTCTGAGATTTAAGCTTTCGAATGACAGGTCAAATTCTAGATAGGATGCTTTGTTCAGCTGCAAAAGCCCTCTGAAAACACGAAGGTCAAAAAGACTCCCAGTGTTCGCAAAGGGTTAGAAAATATACTGAAAATGAATTAAATTTTCAGGACAAAATTCATTTTTATCAAATTCGTGCTATTGACTCAATCAGTAGGGAATACATGAGAAAAATGGACGAATTCTATTGAAAGTCGCCATTGTGTGCCAAGAGAAACTTAAGAAAATTACTTTGTCTATCGATAACATCAGCTATCACTCATAGCACATCAGTTCTTACCAATCAAAGTTAATAAGTAGGCGTGAGTACTTGCTTCTATTCGTCCAATTCATCCATGATTCGAAAGGTGCCGAATCCTGAACCTGAAATCGGGAAATTTCGAGAGTCTATGTAGCTGATGAACAAAGTAATCCTAATAAACAGTGAAAAGATTAAATCCAACGGAATCAAAATTCAAAAGCGCTGCTGTAAGAAAAAAAGAGAAGCATAATTGGAAACGAAGTTTAGAACAAGAAAAAAGACAAGAAAAACGCAAAGAAAAGGAGAAGAAAGAAAAGGAAAAAAAAGAAAGTAAAAACGAAGAAAAAAGAGGAGAAAGAGGGCAAACGAAAGGAAAAACAACAGAAAGAAAAAAAGAGAAAAGAAGAGGAAAAAAAAGGATCAGGATGGAGAAAAAGGAGGGAGAAAAAGAGAAAAGAAAAGAAGAGAGATGAGAAAAGAGGAAAACAAAAGGACAGGGAAGGAAAAGAAGAGAAGAAGAAGAAAAAAAGAAAAACAGAAGGATAAGAAAGGAAGAGAGGGAACGAAAAAGCAAGAAAGAGAAAAAGAGAGGAGAATGAGGAAAGAAAAAAAAGAAGAAAACTTTTTTCTTTCACAGATTCTGAGACAGTATTGGTCGATAATCGACGACCAACTTTGATAAATTATAAAAGATTTTAGCGAAACATCGATTTTTTTCGTTTTTGAAATAGTCGGAGCAAAATTTTTGTTTAGAGCGCGTTTGCTCTTCGACACCAAGTAATCGTGTAGAGTGCGTTGAAGACGGAAATCCTTATCCATGGACATCACCGTTCGGAAGCCAATAGAAGAGCATAAAGCTCTCGGTGTTGATCTATCCGAGAGATATGCCATGCATTCGATTCCATTCGTAGCATCGTAAGGGTGATAAGGTGTATATTTGGTGACCTTCGCAATGACTCACGGTGGCTTACCTTTGTATCAAGTCGGTGCTGCTACCCTCCTAGACAAGTCTGGTACTAGTTCACTAACCCTGGAGAAATGAGAGGCTTGATGAGCCTTAGAGGATCGAACCATCGACCACGTGTAAGTCACACAGCACCTCTAGCTACTGCGCCGCACGTGTCGATACTCTTAAAATGCGATAAGGTATGGTTCTAGGGGTTCACTCTTCCTGAGCATTTCAACAGTAAATGTGACTCTGAAAATTGTCCTTGAGCTTCACCTTTGAACCGGAAATCAAGCTTCGTTGGGAAGTTTTTCTTCGCCAAGTGTCCTGTTTTTTTTTGCACCAAAATCATTTCCGCGAAACATCGTCGTCGGAAAAATCGTTTTTTTCAGAAGATAGAAGAGTCGCGAGTGAATTCATGGTGACGATCCAGTTGCCTTTCATGCAATCTATTCAGTCGCGTCGAATGCTTTCGAATCTCCATCTTCTTGGACGAATTGATCCAGAACACTTGCTTTACACATAGCTAGTTCCTCTTGGATAATCTGTACTACTGGAATTTGGATTTGCTGCATTTGTTATCTCTAAACGGGAAGCGCCGCGGCCGAGTGGTTGTGATGCTCTCGCGGCGCGCGCGCGCGGAGCCGAGCTCGCTCTCCCAAGCCTCTCCGGCAGTCAACAACAACGTCATATGGAACGCCATAGCCAGGCTATCCTCCAGATCGCAAAGAGACTGAAGAAGACGGAAAAACGAATTAGAAACCGAAAAGACTGGGGTCCGCATGGTGAAAGAAACACGGTGAAGACGGATCAAGGGAGTGTCTAAAATTGCCTACAAATGATCATAATTGACGACAGCGAGTCGGCTTCGGTCCACTTCACATTTTAGAGTCTCATCACTTTGCATATTGAAATTAACTTTGTATTCTAGAAAGGACATAGTCTGTGAGAAGGTCTGAAGCTCTTTCGAGGATGATACGTCAGTGGCATACGCACGTTTCGGCGGTATCGCCCGCTTCATCAGTGCCACACGCCCCAAATTGAAGAGCGTTTTATAGCAGGGATGCGGAGACGTTGTGGTGATAGCACGAGATAATGTGTTCTCATCACTTTTTTAGTCGATAGATTATCGCCATTTTTTTCAGTCCGTGGTTATGGCTGGTAGTGAAAAGGGAGATATCCTTCTAATCGACCGTTTCTAAAACCGCGCTATAGGCATTCAACATAATCTGTGAGGATGCTCAAAGCTTTTCGAGGCTGGCATTTCTGCGACAAAAAAAATTACCTCAAAAGGTGTTATCACCATAACGTCTCCCTGTTGCTGCTATAAAGGCGGGTTCAGTGTGCAAAGTAAGGCACTGATAAAGCTGGCGATACCACCAAAACGTGTGTATTTCGCTAACGTACCAGCCTCTAAAAGGCCAGAAAATACTCACAGACTATGCCGAATGTTATTGCGCGATTTCAAAAACAGTCAGGCGGAAGGATATCCTTAAATAAACGTATGAGGTCGTATTCTCCGTTCTCGTCTAAGATATTTGAACCGAACAGCAAGAAAAAAAGAATAAGACATCACTAATTGGAGAGAAAGCGCAAGTGATCATTTGTGCCCAACACAGAAATCCCGTCTTTTATCGAAAAGTTTTTTTTTTGGGATACGTTCTCGGAGTAGTAGTAACGGACTGCATGACACTTTTGAGAAACGAACTACGGAAAAATGAACTGCAAAAATCATTGGCGGTCGTGAGTGAATTGAAAAGAAGAATAGAATTTTTCTGCCGAACGGACAAATAACCTTGCAAAGGTCGTTAGATAGCATCACTGGCGTCGATGATTTGACACAGTCACATAGAATGATCACCGGAATATGTCATTTATTCATCCTCTCGACTGTCCATATGACTCAGCCGAAGCTACAAAAACGCTCAAGCAAAAATTGTAGACAGTCAGGGAATTCAGTTCTCTTGTTTCTACAGTTTCTTTTGTCATTGTCACGCTTTCATCTCTTCACCTCTCTCACGTTGAGCATTTCTCCAACAGAAGACTCATTAGATGAAAAACAAACAAGAACATTGGTCAGATCGGCAAAACAAATCAATTTTTGGCCCTTTTCTGTGGGTACTGGATGTGAACTGTCCATTTAAACAATAGAAAAAGTCGGCAGGTTACTGTCAAGTGCAATATCTCATTTTCAAGTAATACATTTCAAATCATTTCCGTTTTCCGGTCCCAATTCTAGCGCTCATGGATTTTGGAGGTTTTCGAAGTCTGAGTAATTATTAGATATCTTAAATTTGAAAAAACTCAAAATACATTTTATTTTTGAAACGACTCATTTATTGTGCTGTAACAGCAAAAATAAAATTGTGTCTCTCATTCAAACATTTCTCACTGTACAAAGCTTTTTCTTCACAATTTTAGTAACCGTTCAGTAGCAAAAATCCTTTGCATTCTAACGATGTATTTGGTATTCAAAAAAACTTCCTGTTGTGATATAATAATTGAACGAAGTTTGGCAACTTTGGATCATCTCTGCAATCCGCACCTTATTTGGATCCATTAAGAAAAGCGTGCCTTTCAGTTATTTCGCAAATTCATCAATTTTCTAATAGCTCAAATCTCAAAAACTTCGAGATGTATTTTATTTTCTGAACGGCGATCTTGTTGCGCTGTAATAGAAAAATTGAAATTATGTTTCACATTCGACATTTCTCGTCGAACGATGATTTTCTTACATACTTTCAGTAATCATTTAATAGCATGAATGATGAAAATTGAAACCAAATATTTGTATTTCGAAGAAGAGTTTGTAGTGCGCTGTAGTAGCCAAAAGAATGTTAAGTTTTGCTCAGCCAACATTTACACCAACCACCGTGGTTGCGGGTATGTGGATAG